CCCCCCCCCCCCCGCCGCCTGTGCAACTCTCGAATCCCCCAGATGGTGCTGCAGGTTGTGACCGCATCGGTGTTCCTGGCGGCGATCGCGCACACCGTGGTGCTCATGGTGTGCACCGGTTGGAGGTATACCCTTGCCTGGTACGACCCCCTGTTCCCGGCGGGGTTCTCAGCAGTAGGCATGTTCCTACTGTACTTGACGATCGCGGACGCGATCCTGATTCGGCTGCGGCCCCAGGAAGACCTGCACACGTTAGGGTACTGGATGATCATCATCTTCGGCCTGATGTGCCCGATGGCCTTGGCGGGTCCTACTGCTACGCTGCAGATGGTTCTGCACAAGTTTGAGAGGGGCAACGAGGCGGGCCCTGATGCGTTGGGTAGCTCGAGGCTGTCGGCGACCCGCCCCATTGTGTAGCGCGACAGATCACGGACGCGTCGCCTGGGCGCTTGTTCGATATGGCCAGGGCGTCCTCAAGTCATGCGCATCACATGTTGACCTCTTTTTCATGGCGTCCTTAAAGGGTGGGGCGCACGCGCAGTGTTGTCACCCGGCATGGCAGACACTACAGGGTGGAAGGGGGAGAATGTTACAAGGCCAACGTCGCGCGGGTATCGAGCACCAAATGTCAGCTGATACCTGCCTCCGTCTTTCTGGAAAGGAACCTTCGCGGCGTGGCCTCTGTGCCTGGTTGTCGTCGTTCTGCATCGTCGTGGTAGCCCTGCTGGCGACTTGAACGTGCTGCTTTTGTCGGAGTACGAAAAAACTCGCTGATTGTCAACCCTTTTTCTTGTCCTGCGACCACGTCCATCGTGGGTATTGCACCACCGCGTGCGATTGCCATGCATGCGTGTTTTATTTGTGAATTTATCACTCATCGCTGTCCTTTACCTTGTGACCGTGAGGGCACTCATCTCGAGTGCGATGCTGGAGTATTCGTTTGGTCTGCCCAAGCACGCATTGCGTCGAAAACGTAGCCTTTCCGGTCGTCGCGCTAGGGCTTAAACTCCCACGTCATGTGTATGTTATGCCTAATATTATTTTTTTTCACGTGGCCACTATGGTCTATTTTTTTGCACATTGTGTTTTTTTGCGTCCAACGTTTCGGCGGTTTGGTGAAAGGTAGCTGGCGGGGTGCGCTCGGTGAGACGTACGGGACGCTGCAATAGAGCAACCAGTTCGCGCGATGGTGGTCAGTGTTGCTTTATCGTTCACCGGTCATGGTCCAAAGTGACACGGCTGTTGTGGCTTGTGCATCCACACCTTAATTGAATGTAAATGCTGCATTGTTCACGATGGTCTGATTCACGCTGATTTTTGACTCGTGAATATTCTTGGTGTCAAATCGATTATTTGCCGTCATCGTAGCCTGGTTTGGGTGGATCTTTGTGCAGAAGCAAGAATTGCGATATGTTTTCCAGAGGCGAGGCGTCGTGAAGCCGATGGTTCATGGTGTCATCCTTTTCAGGCATGGGTGCTTGTTCTTGATTCCAGAGGCAAGACGTCGTGAAGCCGATGATTCATAGTGCCATTCTTTTCAGACATGGGTGCTTGTTCTTGAGGAACTCCGTGTTTGGATTGTTTGCGGAATGGTGTATAGCATCAAACAACGCGACATGTATAAACCACGTCTTTGGAAAACCAGGGCCATCCTCTCTGCCACCGACTATGGCCCGCACGTGCAGCCAGGGATTTCATTTCGATTGGGCCGGTCGTCGTGAACAACGAGAAACCAGCGTGGAATTCATAGTATTGGGCTCGATCGGTCCACTCCCGCTCATGGGGGGCTCGGTATCGCAGGTTTCGTAACAAGAGAGCGGAATTTTCCAGACGCGGGATGTCTTGTTCGCAGCATGTAGGGGGCAGTCTCGGTAGCATTGTCATCGTGGCCTCTCTCTCGACTGTCGGCTGGACCCCGGAGCGTAAAGAAGAAGGTCGGAATATGGGCCCAAGAAGTAGGGAGGGGCGAAGAAGATGCTTACCTGAACGATCGTAGGCCGCCACCATCTGTCAATCTGCGGTTGAGTCTACGGAGTAACTCATTGTTGCTGAAACACAGCATGGGCCTGATGTGCACGAGACCCAATGCTCACGTTATGCGCAACACAGAAGCAAGCGAGTGTCGCACTTCAACAACGTACGAGACGACTGTCGGGGAGACATACGAACATGCCGCCATCGTCCCATTTGACCCGATCTCAGGAACGTCGGAACACACCCTTCGACAAATGGACAAAGCGTTGGATTGTAGTCTTTCTATATTTCAACGAAACATTACAATATTAGTGTTGACGGGCTCCCTTTGGCCGCGTACGATGAGATGAAACGGACACTGCATAGAGGCACACATAGTATCTCATCACGGCTGGTCAGTCTTGAGGCTACACTCCCGGACGTCGACGGGACCTGACTGAGTCCCTAACTGAGAGACGGGCGCCTGCTTCATGCACCAATCGGGGCACAGCTCTCCATTCCACACCTCGCCGATTTCTGCCTCGCCACGCAGGGACTCGGCGGTCTCGCAAATAGGTTCAGGGATTGGTTTGACGTGGAAAGGCATCAGATCTCGAGGGCAGTCCGAGCACACCTGGCGCATCATCATTTGCCGGACGACACGGAGGGAGAGGCAGAGATGCGGGCAGGCTTGTCAAAGTCACGCTGAAGCCTGGCGCTCATCAACCCACAAAGCTTAGCCTGTTTCAGGGAGAGTCCCTCATAATCGATTGTCATGCACTACTGCTGTACCGTTCAATCACCTCTGGGCGCCACTCAACACCTTACGGAATCCGTTTGAAGCACCAGGCGAGCTCACATTACTTTGCGTCATCAAAATGTTTTATCAATACATGTACATTCTGTAGTTCCGGCAATGCACACCCACCTGGAACGATTTCCCGACATCAGCCCTCTCTTGTCTATTCGTGTCCGTCGATGCTGCAGCCTTTGCATAAAGTGCCGCCTTTGTTTCCACGGCCCGGCCGATCATGACCTGCGATTAGGATTTGCACAAAAATGAACTAAAGAAAGAAGAGTGGAGGGTCCGTCGGCTTTGGATTTACCGTGCAGGGGGACTAAGGATGGTTCCAACTTGCCTTTTTTGGATCTCACCCTCTATTCCATCCACCCTCCCTTCCATCGTTTGCAAGCAACATTGTCCGGGTGAGCACTACCCGTCGACTCACGTTAGCCAGCATCTCTGTCATCGTGGAATGAACCATGATGGACCCGTTGTGCGCTTCGGGGTTGGACGCTGCGGAGGAAATGTAGTGATAGTGAATATTTCCTCCGTATCGTCGAGTGCCTTGTTTCGATCCTTCGTTCTCGAAGAATTTCGCCTGGTACATCTAACCATACGGCAACGGGCATTGGCCAGCATGCGGGGGGGAAAAACGAAGCAGCCAAGGGGTACGCCGCCAAGGTTCCAGTGAGGTGACGCCATTACAGTTTCCATGGTAGGTATAGCTGCATCTTGGCATGTGGCACGGGTGGCAGCGGTACGCGGTACGCCCCGAACCTGTCGTTGCCGAGGCTGAATAATGTGCACCCAAGGTCTTTCGGTGTCGAAGGAGTTGCTCGTCCTGTTGTGGATTGGACGAGACTGCTGTTTGGCGATGAATAGCAAGCGTTTACGCACCACTTGATCGAAATCGGAGCACTTCGATGCCAGGAGCACCGACCGAATGCTCGTCTTTCGTGCGTGAGACGCCCGACTACCGACACAGGCAACCCTTCACGCAGGAGACACCAAATCTGCTGAGGGCGTCCATTGTAGTGCAGAACGGCCGATGGGGTATTTTGTCGCGCCTCGTCGGTTTGGCACAGAAACGTGCGTTGTTCGGGCCTTCCGACTGAAAGTGATCAGACATTCACATTTTTTTTGGCGTGGTGAGACCCCTCGAGACCATAACGGTCCATAAGAGGAATTTCTCTGGGTCCGTACATGTCCACTCCCGAGATTTCAGAATGGGAGGTTTGGCCTATGACCGCAGAAGGTGTCCGTCTCAATTGGACCACCAGTGCACGGATATTAGGAGGTACTACGGCATGCAGAGGTCGAAACGTTTTTTTCGTTAAAGGCAAAACCCCCTGGGCGTTGGTTAGTGCCAGGAAATGTACCCATCGACAGAGTGAAGACCACTCAAATCCGCAAACTCACAGGGAATGCGCTCATAAACGATACGCGGGAGTCTCGGGCTTGGTACCCGTCCATCTTCGAAAGTGCACTACCGTCGAATGGCGGTCGCCTGGAAGCCCGTCCACCGGTGAACGCTATGCTGACGTCTTCGAGAGCGGCCATTGTTGGATTCCGTTCGTACCAGTAGACGTCCTGAATGAGTGTTATGACGCAGGTGAAGCAGAGGGGATGCTCAGAGCGATCACGAAAACAAGTCGTAAATCACGGGAAAAAGTTTGACGGTATAGTAGTGTACAGGTCTGAGAGATGGAACTGATTGAACTGTGTGGCCAATTCCCTTTCCTTGCGTCTGCGGAACCATGAGAATGAATCTATCAGGCCTCCAGTGGGGAAGAATGTCCCAGTTATCCGCCCCAGAACGAATGCCAGGGAAGTGGGTTATTGCCTGGCCAATCGGACTACAGACGACAAGCTCGTAGGGCATGATTGTCCACTTGCTTGTCGCAGAGGACGACGCTTAGACTATAGCAAATCCCAGAGGGACACCTGACTGCACTCACGAATGCACCCATGTGATCCACAAACAAGAGTTTCCCTTCCCAACTTGGCGGAAGTGCTTCCATCAGCACCTGCGTAAGCGGGCATGTGAGTGGGGTATAGGAGTTGAGCTCGAAAATGTTCGAAACGATCACAGTGTGTAAGCGATAGTGACCCCGAAATACAATTCTGCTACCCATGAATTCACAACAATACTCTTCAAGGTTAGTCGCAGATACGCCACAAACACGTCTTGCGCCGTTGCAGGCAATTCGCAGCATATCTCAGCCCATCTCGTGTAGGGTTGGCCCTCGTAAGACCCCATGATATTTTCAAGGACTATCCTTACACAAACACTCTCCGTTTGTGCAGCTTCCTTCCCTGCGCAGCACCACTCCTATGCATTCTCCAGTGGACAAATCACAACGGCTTCTTTGAGATCGCACGCCGTTCACCAACGTCAACGCTGAACCCTCTCTAGAGGAACATGTTGCTACCTATCAGGTTCGGGGTACTCAGGCCCTACATACTGCTTTGACTGTTCATTCAGTTGTTCGGGCGGAATATCAGCTAAAATGCCACACATCGTTGTTCGGTGTCACCTCAATCGCGATTTGATGCTCAATCTTGTCCGGGAGCAGAAAACTAGACGGAGCCAAAATCGTCGCCGGCCACTGGGTACCATGTTGAAAAATGGTCGACGTCAGGAACTCTTCGGCGGAATGAATGAAGGCTGACGTGCTCCCGCTGGTTAGTTTTTCGTTGTTGCAGACGACCGAATCTATGGAGTTGGAGAGGTTGGCGTTGGTGATCAACAAAGAACATGACGATTGTCTCGGCCTTTAGGAGCAGTGATTGTGGAAACCAGAGCTACCTTTTTTGCGACGTTTCCGATGTAACTGGCACTATTCCAATGGCATTGGTGCATATCCTACGCGTAACGCCACTGCAGGAGTTGTCTTTTGCTCCTGTTCATCTTCCGCTCGAGACGTGAGCAACTTGGCAACGTCTCATACATACAATCTGCGCGATACGAACAATCCAACACAGCGCACGCGGTAGTGGTCCCGGTATAATGCCGGTCGCCCGGAATAACAGTTGTTTGGCACAGCAGATGGAATATTCAAGTTGTTTCAGACTCTGGTTGACTGCAATGCCGGCCAAAGCGGCTGGATCGCATGCCAGGACCACTACTGTGCTTGTTGCGGCTTCAATTCGAACAGACGTCACGGCAAGCTTGATCTTAGCCGATTCGCACTCAATTCAAAACGCCCACAGTCTACAACAGCGCACCCTACACAAAGACATGCAAGAGTCGAGAGTATAGCTATCAACCGCGAGGCTACACGTACCGGTCATGGTGACGAACCTATACAGCCGCATGTCCTGAACAGAGCGAGAAAAAGTGCAAGCGAAGAAGCACGAAAGCGTGCTGTGTTGTGTGGTCCAGTGCGTATCGAGGGGCGTTAGTCGGAACAGTTTCACTCCTCCATCCTCCGAGCTACATCTAGAGAGGGTAGAGGATGAAAGAGTGCGTCGCCTGGAGTACGTTTTTTCAAGCGTGGAGTGCTCGGAAAGGACCGGACTTGAGATACTTTGCGTGGTATCACTTGCTAAAATACATATTGATAGGCGGAAGTCGATTTCCAAAAGATCCAGCTTCCCGTTGATATATCGAACGAAGGGCCGACGTTCACCTTGCCAAGAACAGCACACAGAACATCGCCCTTCTTCTACGATCAAGTTTAGTATTGTTCCTCTCGAAGTTTTTCGCATACTCACGCGGCACCAAGGGGTTGGGTGGTGAAGGTTGACCTCGGAAAAGCAATTCAGCGCATGGCATACCCGAAGTTCAAGGTGCTACAGCAGTAGAGGCAACAGCTCCGTGGACTTGCCCCCCTCGGTACCACACTATTCATTCTCTGTCTCCGTGGGAACCGTTATTTTGTTCTTGCATCACATTATTCTGGAAGCCCATCCGTTCACCTCTCCGCAAAACTCTGACGCACCAGTCGGGTTCACACAGGCGATAGGCAACGCAAAAGTTGTACTCTCCGCGTTCCTTTTGGGCTTATGTTGATTATCATCGCGGAAGATCAGCCGTTCCTTTCCCTCGTCGACGGTCAAGTCGCAATATTGCGTACACAGGAAACTGCCCCGCTTTTCAACATTGTTTGGGAATGCCACCCAGGTCGTGTGACTACGCCGAGCTTCGAACCCACATCCAAAGGAAAAACGTTCTCGAAACCTAGACCGTACATTCGCCACAGCAAGTATTCTCCTCACATCTGATGTACAGAAAAACGCGAACGATAGTACCTGGTACGTCAGGCGGAGGTTCCCAACCCGGAGGTCGGCGTATCCCCAGCACTTCCCAAGGGTACTTGTCGCCATCTCGTCCTTTTGTCCTGCCGCTAACGCCATGTCCACAAGCGTAAGAAACACGCCTCTTTGGACCGATCCACCCAGGACCACAAGCCACGTCGGCTCGCCGTCGAGGCTGGCCAGGAGCATGAGATCTTGATAAGAGAATGTGTCGAAAACACAAGATTTGGGCTGAAACACCCAGCCATTTCTCATCACTCCGTGCGCAGCACTGGCCACGTTCGATGATAGCCATGTCCCGGGCCTCCAAAATGTATCCGCGATATCGTTGCTGCGATCGTCTTGGGATCCACAAACATGTAAAGAGTTTACGTCCAGCGTTGGAAAATCGCCTCCAATCGTGAGAGAGAAGGGGCTTCCCACGATAGGAAGACCCTCACCCTGTTCGGACGGTTGGACTTCCTCGACGTACACCAGGTAGTCCCCGGGGAAATCGCTCTTGTACGTTGCAGTGAGAGTGCCAGTGTTGCCGTCGCCAACTACCTCCGCGATCAAGATCTGCGATGTCATACAGCGCAGAAGCGGCGTTCCCAAATGACAGCGAAGACCCTTTTGCGAGTGCCACGCTGGAATATTGTCGTTCTATCTCTCGAGAATATTTCCACCGTTTCCCAGTATCTACCTTACCGGACGGCCGTATATCCCTGGATGAAGACCACTATTCTACTTGCTCCCGTACAACAGAGCAGATCGTAGAGATTGTCCTTGACCCACCTGATCCTCATTGGAAATCCACACGTAAATGAATCTGTTGCTGCTGTTCGGTTCCCAACCAGGCCGGGAGCTCCCGCCGCTCCCGTCAAGATTGTCTTCGACCAGCTGGATCGTGAAGGACGCCGGTATTCCCGCCGTCGCCTTGTATAGTCCTTCACCAGAGGCTGTGTGCGCGGCTCTTTCATTGGAACTGTAATCGTGCGCCTTGGAAACGAGCGGCCCAGAAAAGCGCGAATAACAGTTTGAATGCTTTCGTTGTCCGTTTACTGTGTCCATGTCCGATGCTGGATGCTCGTTCACTCACTAAGCGGTGGGTGTTAAGGGCGGGTGGAATCCCTTGCCGCTTCAGAACAGGGCGATGCCTGCTGTAGGGGTGCGTTTACAGCGAATGTTCACAGTCGCCCAATACACGGCTAAAGATAAAATAGTAGTATTCCATCGCTCTCTACTCTGCCTTCCTTTGCCGTTGAAAGCTGCTGACAAGTCACCGCTGATGTCCAACCTACTGTAAGGCGGGCTGGGCGACATCGGATGCCGTACCTGGTCGGTGTCTTGTCTACCCTGAATGACCTCTGCTTGATTCGCAGATGCTGAAAGTTCACGGTCGATCTCCAATCTAAGCGAGGGAGGGGTATCTCGGGGATATCCTCGTTGTGCGGCCAACGCGCCAGCAGTCGCGAGCACGAGTTGGGCAACAACCCGTGCCTTGCTCACCCTCCTCATCGTCGTCTCCCAGGCAACTCAATAGTGAAATTCCGGGACGGCGACGGCACTGGAGTGAAGCGAGGAACGCATGGGTCGGAATGGTACGTGGTATGACCCAAAGCAAGAATTCAACCCGATTGTCAAACAAGAACCTCCTCGTATGTATCTGGAATGAACGTCATCGAGCTGAAGTGCGTGGTGCGGATCGCAGGGATGATTTGGAGGTGGAGCTTTGACGGTGGGAGTCTCATGCATCGCTCAATTGCTACTGTACTCGGTGCTTCCTGTTTTTTGACTGAGAATATGTTCGAGCATGATGGTGTGGATGGTCTGCATGATATTCGTGTGATGTTTTCAACGACACGATTGGTGTCAACATTTGTGAGGCCCGCTTTGTGCCACACAGCAGTAGTGTTTCATCTGCGCGTGGTAGGTTGAACAGGTTAGACATGATCACTGTTATTTACTTCGTACATTGGATGATAAAGTAAAGAAGGCCTATTTTCCCAATGAGGTACCCTATACGTCTGGGTCAGGATTAATAATTTGTCAATTTGCCCCCTCTTTTTGGTTGCACAATGGAGGAATTTCCTCCAACAGAGATTTGATGAATCGCTCTACACGTAACAAGGGGAAGAGCACAAGACGTCACTATATTTTCAAGTTGAGCCCTCGCAAGGGTACCGCACACGTGTGCGGGGAAATATTTTTTGTGCGCCCTTGGCTGGATGCCTGTTCATTTTCAACAAATACAAACCGTTCCGGTCTCCGCTCAGTGCCTTCTGATATCAGTACTGGTATTGACGTGGCCAAAGAGGGAACACGTTTCTTTCTCTATCTGCATGGAATGAATGTAGATAAACTACAGCAGCACAGCAGATGGAGACCCAAATCCAAATCTCACCACGGGAGACGATCCCTCCCCCCCCAAAAAAAAAGTCGTTTTCTGAGTCCCTTTCTGAATCTACCCTGGACTAGATTAAACTCATTATCTAGTTACCTGTAGATAGAAATGGATTCGTTGTGTCGTACACATGCATACATACGCACATGAAAAAAGTTAAAAAAAAGTTATAGACTCTTTCGGACTTCGATTTTTTCCTAAATAATAGGGTAAGATGTTATGATGAACGGAGAGAAAGGGCTTTTCCAACACGGAGATGTAGCATGGATCAAAGCATTTGTTGGATTTCAGCTTTTTCAAGAGGACATCAACGCAGTAGTATTTGAGCAAGCTTACCAACGGATGTAGGATACCATGAGGATCGTCATTGGCTTTATTTCATATTGAAGAGGAGATATTTTTACGATGTAAGTGACAGTAGAAATAAGTCCCACATATGTTGTTGTACTTCGTATTGGTTAAACATTCATGTGGAGTATGAGACATTAAGTGAAAGTTTTCTGAGGTACATCTGCAATTGTCGGAAGGCAAACAAAATAATAATACGGAAACGGTAGTGTTATATACGACACCGGTGTCGAACTTCCTTATATACGACACCTACCATTTCTTGGCCCACAGGGATCCAATCGGCGTACAACAAAATGCGCTGTGTAGCCACGGCCCGCAGCTATCAGCCCATACCATTTTGGGTCAAATCGGCCAAGTGGTTG